ACACACACACACACACACACACACACACACACACACACACACACACACACACACACACACACACACACACACAATCAGTTTTATGTCTGTCAGTCTTTCTCCTGTTTTCTGTCTTCCCTCTAATTTTTGCTATTTTTTGTGTGCCCAACTGAGCACCCTTAAGTAGTGCCAAACAGTCGGTGGTTCCTCGTTTGGAGTGCGGACTGCACTCTTAGGGGGGCCGCTCGGTTCGGGATGTCCGTGTTGCCTGTGGGTGATGACAGATGGCCGTAGGAGTGTCTCCCTGGCTCAGTGGGTGGTGGGAACCAACAGTCTGCGGGGTTCAATCGTGATGTGAGTTGGTCATGTGCTGCTTTGCTCCGTGTTGGATGTGTGGACTGCCTTGTCTGCACTCTGCCGCTGCCTTGCTGCCTGTCCCGCTTGCTTCGCATGTGGTTCTCTGCAAGTTGATGTGTTCGCTGTGTGGTTTGGCTGCATTGTTGGTGTTGCCTTGTGCTTCGCAGCTCCGCTGCCATGCTGCCCTTCCACTGGTCGTGCCTTCTGTGGTTGCTGCTTGTGTGCCTGGTAGGTTGGTTGCCTTGTTGCTGTTGCCTTGTGCCTCACTGCACGGTTGCCGAGCTGCTGGTCCGCTTACCCTGTCGTTTCTTGCAGTGTGGTTGCCTTGCTTGTGTTGCCTTGTGCTTCACTACACGGTTGCTGTGCTGTTCACCCGTCTTCTGCATGTCGTGTCGTTCCTTGCAGTCGTTTTTGGCGTTGTGCAGCCGTGTTGCCTCTACTGAGTTGCCTGGTGCCCCGCAGGGTTGCTGCCCGCTGCTATGTTCCGCTTGCGACCGTCTGCCTTCCACAAGGGTCAAAGGGTTCGTGACCCAAACCATCAAATACGGAGATTCCAAAGATTGTCGAGGGTTCAGCCTCCTGATGAGTCGGTGCAACTCCGAGGAAACAATCTATCATCAGTTTTGTAACTTTTTTTTTTTTTTTTTCACTTTGTCTTTTTTGGGCCTTTCTCTTTTTTTGTTTGTTTGTTGTTCTTTGGCGTGCCGTTTAATTGGATGGCCTTGTGTCGTTTGTTTGCCCACCCGCCTCCCCCATGCCCTCCACCCTGCGTCCTTTGTTGCGGCTTGTCGTTCTATGCCTTACTGGTCGTCTTGTGTGCCCTCGACCTTTCAGGCTTGGGATTGTATGTTTTTCTGTCTTCTGTATGTCTAGTGGACTTGCAGTGCTACTTTAAGGGTTTTCTATTGACTTGACTCACTCAGATGCGTGTTTCCTCCTGAAGTATTGTGTCGGCATGGGGCACAGTATCTGTGCCGGAGATGTTCGCCATGTGTCTTTGCATACACATCATCACACACACTTTATGCTTGTACAAAATTGTGTTCTTAACTTCTTTTACTGCCAACATTTTCTTTCGCAATGATCCTCATCAAGAAAAAAGTGAATAATGTTCTTCTTTTAATCAACCAGTTTTTCAAACAAGACGAACCAACGCGGTTAAATGGCATCGACACCTGCTCACCGCCACATGAAGTAGCTTCAGTTGCATCATCCCTCTCATCCAAAAACTATGTTCAATTGCATGATCATGCTCAAGACGAAAAGAATGCTGTTGCTTTTATGATCTAACACTTTGTCGAAGCAGCATGAACCAAAGGTTTCCAGTAAAAGACAGACAAACATCTGCCCCAACCCCTTGAACAATGCCCCTTCAAACCCCTCCCATAAAAATCACTATCTCCCTATCTACTTTTCACACCTTACATCTTTCTTACTCTCACTTCTGAACCTCTAGGTGTACAGTTCCATAAATTCCATGCCTTCCAAACCCCCTTTCTCACCACTCCCTGATTGTTTTCAACTCAGTCCTTTAACCAACAACCTCAGTCCTTTAAACAACAACCACTTCGTGGCCCCCTTCGAACACATCTTGCCTACCGTTCCCTAACCACTCGAGCTCCCCTTTCTCACCACTGAATTTATGACATTGATTATTTCCAATTTCTTCCATGAAATAATCAAAGCACGAAGAAAAAGGCACCCTGTCTTTTCGCAGGCTCTTGGTCATTTTTCCCCTCGTTTCAACTCACTTTTTTTGGTGCCCCCCTTCAAACCATCTTTCACATCTTACTTTCAGAACTCGAGACTTTGTTTCATAACAACAATTAAAAAACAAATTCAAAAACCACTTCAACCACCCACACATACAAACTGCGTCTCGACCAAATCATTCACAAGAAGAGAGGCTGCATCCTGAAGTTGAGGATGGCGGTGCTGACGTGAAGATGGCAGCAGCCATGATGGCTTCTTTAGCCCAGCCCCATGATTGCCTTCAAGAATGGTTCAAGTGAGGAGCAACCAAGGTTGTTGGCCCGAAGATGGAGGCTCAGCTTAATGTTTATCTGCAGCTAGATCATAGTCCTGATGCTATTCACAGCACCTGTCCTCCCACTCGTGCGAAGACACCATCTACCCCTCCTTACTCCACCAAGTATAGAATCACTCCAGCCCAATAACAACTCCCTTCCCTGGTTTTCCCGCAGCTCGACTAATCCTTGACGACAACACCCTTGACGAGCACCTCCTCTTATTTCCTCCCAACATCGACAATGTAATCGAGCAAAGAACAGCGGCCCAAAGAGCGGGGTGACAATGAATCAGGGACCTTGGCCGAAGGACAGTCTTCCGATGGACAGTGATTGTGCCAAGCTGGCTGAAGCATTCAACATTCTGAGCATGCGACTGGCGAATGATGACTGCCACGTGTCGTACGAGCTACTGAGGAGAGCAGAGGTGCTGACTCAGCATCCATCTTCTCCTGCCAAACTGGACGGCTATGATTGGGTTGCTCGGCCGATCGAGGATGCAAGCGTGAGGGCGCGCTTGCGCGCGGTCACTCTCAATAATATGGGTTGCATTCAGCAGAAACTCGGACGTCCCTATACGGCCTTGAGGTATCTAATGTCTGCTATGGAGATCGAGCGGAGGGCACACATGGCAGAGAAGAGAGAGGGCACACTTCTCAACATGTGTGCGACGCTGAGTCAGCTTGGGAGACACGTGGAAGCGAGGGAGCACGCTGCCGCAGCCGTGCGGATCTTAAAAGGGAAGAAAGATGGTGGACTTGCCAGCACCCAGCCGCTAGCAGGAGATCTACTAAAAAAAGGCGAGACAGAGAGGGACAGACCATCAAGGCAGCAGAGAACGAGCAAGGAGGGAGAAGGTGGGAGCTTGGACGGACTGAGGGCTTCCGGCCCAAGCGGCAGCGATGGCGGCCACGGCTCCTGGGAAGACCTTGCCAGTCCTGCCGGTATCCGTATCACTAACGGTACCCGTAACGGTAACCATAACGGTTTCACTGTCCATTCGCGGAGTGGTGATATGGTAGCACAAGGGGCATTGCATTTTTCACCACGTGGTAGCTCCAACCTTGGGTCGAACGGCAACTCGCAAAAGGCATTCCGAGAAGGGCAACACTGGTGGGGTAGCAACCATAGCCTCAGCTCGAGTCTGCTGCCCTCACCCAGACGGTGGGGTATTAGCATCGCTGCAGAGCTGGCAGGGGACACGGTCCGGATCAAAGTCATTAGACATGAGAGCCGAGGAGAGGATGGGGGTTGCACTAGCAGAGCTCATCGACTTACAGATCATTGTGATTCTCCCTCTGGAGATGGTGGTGATCCTTGGCCCCCTCGCCATTGTCATCATCCTGACGGTTTTCCTGGTAGTGACAACCTGCATGTACACAGCAGGAGTAGAAGCAGTTTCAAGAATGTCCTAATATGGACCGAGAGCTCCTGCGGATTCTCGTCAAGTCAACGGCGGAGAAACAACTCGAGGAGAGGGACCGCAGCAGCAACAGCTAGGGAGGGAAGCAGTGGAAAGAGCGCCCAGGACGTGTGCTTGAGGCCCTGGACGACACCAAGTCGGGAACCGCCAGTCAAAAGCTTTCCAGCTGGCACCCATGAATCCCATTTGGATCTGCCTGGGGTACGCAAAAGGCGGTACAGACCCCAATCTGTGCAGTACTACATTGTTCACTCTTTGAGCCAGGCGCTTCCGATGGCCAAAGAAGAGAACAGGGTCAGAGGATGGCTGTGCCAAGATGATAATGATGATGACAATGATAGTCACACCGATGATGATGCTAAGGACATATTACCCTCTCCCTTGGTTCATCCAGTTGAACGGCCCGCCTGTGGAAGCATTAGGGGTTTTGAGTCGGATGACGATGATGATGTCACAGACAATTCCCCCTCCCCCAGTCTTCTTCCGGTCACGATGGTGGTGCCTGTTTCTCCTGCAATCAACAGAGTCAAGAGTGCAAATCAGACTTCGACTACGGGGAATAGTAGCCCAGAGACGCGATTGAATACTAGCGTATGTGAAGGCAGTGGTAACTGCACTGCAGGGACTGCTGCTGCCTCTGCTCAAATCGCCTCTGCCAGTCTGGGTTGGATGACCACAGGAAGATTATCGGGGAGATCAGCTATGGCGAGAAGAATCTCTGCTTCTTGCCCGCCTGTGCCTGAATGCGATACCGATGATGAGACTGATGATTCCGAGATCTGGATGACGTCCAGAAGAAGAATGGTAACTGCATCTCCCGCCGCTGATCAAGACCATCCTGAGTCCAGGGCAAGGATGGTTTGGACCGCCGGTTCCCTGAATGGCCACTTTGGCATCGAGGAAGGATCTTCCGAGGTGATGAAAGGAGGAGCGAGTGGTCGACAGCATGCTCCCGCTACTACAAAACGCCCCTACCTGCCGAAAACTCCCAGGCCACCTCTCCCCAAGAGCAGCCCGACATTGACAGCAGTGTCTGCCCATAGCCTTGCATCAGGCAACGCTCACGACACCCCACTCCCACCACCTAAATCCCCCTCTTCCATAGGCATGCAGGTCCGACATCCCTCGTCTTCTTTGTCCCCTTCAGCACCTCTTTGCAAGGGTCAAGACGTGTCCTCCATTGGCCACGTGGCCTGCATGGGGCTAGAGCTGCCACCGAGTACTGCCAGCTGTAGCAGCAGGAGCAGCAGTAAGAGCAGCAGGCACTTGCCCAGCCGGCAAGATCAGGGAAATAAGCTTGATGAGAAAGGCAAACTTCAAGGCTTAACTACAGAAGAAGAGAAACTAGTCCCTTCCCTTATCTCCGCTGGGTCTGGGCTGGATCATGAGGCCGACAAAGGTGGACCACCAACAAGGAATCCTATCGGTCCTGGCTGTCATGATGAGAGTGAAGCAGAGGATGGCGACGGGGGTCATCGCGAAGGCAAAGGAGTTAGGACACGGCCTTTCATTCCTACCCTCTCTCTTGACAAGGCGACTAAAGTTAGAGCTTCAGCGATTGAGGGTGCGAGGAGCCTTCGCAGACAGATCAGATCCAGAGCCCGCAGGGGTTTGAGAACAGCAGGGGATGTGCACCCTCAGCGTGATTCTCGATACTGTATCCAGGGCAAGGACGGTGGCGATGCACACTCTCGGGACACTATCAGGGAGGGGGGAGGTGGTGGTGGTGGATATATGGACGGTGTATTTGGGGAGGCTGCAGAATCCAACAGCGGTCGCGAATTGTCATCCTCCAAAGGTCTAGATGTTATGCTAGTCATTGCACTCCACAATCTTGCAGTAGAGCATGAGTTCCTTGGGGAACTTCCTCAGGCTTATGTATCATACAACAGAGCATTTGCGCTAGCGAAGAGTGTTTGGGGGAAGAGGTCGGGCATGGCCAGATTCATACGGAAGAGTTTGTCGGGATTTAAGAGGAAACACAGAAGAACCAGAACTGCATGGCAGAAAACGGAACCTGCAGCTGCCATTGCAGCTGGAGCGGATAGACCAGTGGCAGGTCCAGATTTGAGTTCCAGTCCAGGTCGAAGTCCCAGCACCAGAGCAAAGAGCCACCACTCCGCTCTTACTCGCTTTCAGTGCGACGCAATGCCAGCATCTTGGAGCAGCAGCCCCTTGGGAATGCCCGTGAAAAAGGGAAATGCTATCAGTCGGCCACGAGCAAAGCATAATAATCTGACCCTGACCCCGAACCCCGTGCCAAATGGCAACACAAACCCCTTCGACAGATCCCCTCTCACAACCATTGGGCACGGTCACAACAACGATGGTTGCTGCTGCTACAATAACAGTGAGCACAGTGATGGGATCTCTTCCGACAATTCGGGTAATGAGCGCAGTAGACGCCACCGCACCAGCGGCAGCTGCTATAACGTCGCCAGCCACGGCAGCGATTGGGATGATGAGCGCTCCGGAAAGGTGTCATCCCCACAGGAAAGACCAATCATTCATCAAGGGGAAGACACAGCCAGGCATCATGATGATGATCATCAACAGAAGGATCTTGCAGAAGACCATCATGATCATGATGGCATCCTGTCTGAGCGTAGCCTCTCCGTGTGGAACAAGAGTTGGCCTGGCTCGCCTGTTACTGGTAGTCGGGATCCCTTCGTCCATCATGAACCCTTGCCACAGCATAGCCGGAAGAGCTGGGTACCGTTCGGTTATGAAACTACTAGAACAACGGGAGAGGGACACAGGAGAGTCATGACAGCCGGCAGCTCTTCCAGTAGGCACCGAAGTTCAAAAAATGCGGGCTATTCAACAACCTCCGGGGGCTCCAGAGCGAAGGGCAACCATCGTTCCAGGGGCCGGGGCAAAGGAAGTTCGGTACAAAAGCTGTTCTCTTTCATTGACCTGGCAGCAGGGAGATTGGCGGAATGGAAACCCAGCACTACTGCAGTAGATGGGTCATCAATAGAGAACAGCTTTCTTCGCACCTGCAGTGGCTACATCAACGACAATATCAGCAGTGGCAACACCCTAAACATCATGCGCAGAAAGGAGAGAAAGACCATGAGCGGTGGAGAGCCTGGCTATGGTGGTCAGCGGTCGGTCCCTGCCCTACCCTTGACAGCTCAAGGCCTCGCCAGAAGAAGACGGTTTTGGGACAATGCTGTGATGAGGATATACTTGCACCCTCAGGGACAGAAGAGGAAAATGGCACCTAGGTGATTGGTTATACAAAAGAAATTGATAGCAAACACTCAGCAAGAGATCCAAACACTAAAATAGACATTGCATCACCATGCAGCAGCTCTCGCACAATGGCTCTCTTCTAGTATCTCCTTCAATTTGCAGCTCTTGCTGTCGAGGGCAAATGAATCGAATTGCGGGTGAGGGAGGGCAGGGGAACCTGAATCTGCCGATGCTTTGGTCAGGAATTTCTCGTCTTTTCCTGATGAAATGAGAACAGGGAGTTCGCACTCTCGTAGTGCCGGAAAGGATGCAGATGCTTTGGTCAGGCATCTTTCATCCTTTCTTGATGAAGGAGCGAGAAACAGGGAGTTCAGACTCTTGTAAAGCCCGATTCTGAGATGAGTTGATTCATTAAATATAACAGTGCTCATTTCTTCTGAGTGTACTTTGTCCTCAGTTTCTGGCCATGTGATCATTTGCCATGTAGTTTTGTTTCCCTTTTCCTTTTTCCTTTGTATAGTACACTCGCTATCACCCCAATTTTCATTCCTGTCAACAGCCAGAGACAGTTTGAGTTGTTTTTCCCTGTTTATTTACGGCCTTGAGATATCATTGTTGAACTGACCCGGCCCAGGTAAATAAGCAAAAAAGTATTTCGTGCGTCTAGTTCCATCTTGATCCGAACTCAGGTCTGCATTTCAATAGTTCATGGGTGAACCGTTGAGTTTCATTTTTTTCCAAAACCTGTCTTTCTTTTTCTACAGTCTGACATGACCTGTCCTTTGGAGCCTTTTTTCCGGTGGCCTTCGCCTTGGGTGGGCCAGGGTGGCCTTTGGAGCCTTCAGGAGAACTCCACGAGCTTTTTAAGTTTGTGAGTTCTGTGTATTCCAGGGCTAGTAAGGGCAATGAAGTCCGCGATGGGCCCGCGCAGGGGAACAGCTCATCTGATTCCATCAGGATTTGAGCTCATCTCCGTTTACTAATGGTTATATGTGTGCACCATTCACCCACATGGACACCCATTAGCTTTTTAAGTTCGTGAGTTCTGTGCATTACGTGGCGAGTAAGGGCAAGAAAGTCCACGAAGGGCAGGTGCAGGGGGACACCTCATCTGATTCCATCAGGATTCAAGCGCATCTCCGTTTACTAACAGTTGTGTGTATGGGGGGGCACAGTTTTCAACAGTGGCTATGTGATCTTTCTTTTTTTTTTTTTGCAATTCGGTCATTTGTTTGTTTTCTATGGGCAGTTAGTGGCTGTAGACTGACCTGAGTGATTGTAAGCTGCTCTAGGTGACTGTGATGTAGCCTGCGTCGTTCAACAATTGTGTCCTCCAACTCCTCTTTAAATTACGGATTCTGCGGATGGAGGTTTTTCTCTGTGTGAGATGTGCACTTCATCCAATTGCATCTTGGCCGTTATGATCCATTTGGTCGGGGCAGGTTAGGGATGACGTTGACTGAAGTTGTTTTGAACGAGTGGGAAATGGGTAGCTTATGCGACAATAACTGTGTTAAGTTGTTAACACTGTTAAGACAGTGGGATTTCAGTCGAGAGTGAGCCTCGCTTTGGTTTGCTCTTCAATTTTACATTGGGAGCATATTCTGGAAATCAGGTCTCTCTCGGTTGTTTGCTATTTCCGCATTCTTTCTTTAGCTGTCGTCTGTGTGTTTTGGTCCCTCAGTCCCTGGCACCAGTGAATCGGCACTCTGTATATTGGCCCTGTTCGTAATGTGGATTGTGATTTTTTGTTACCCTTTTTCTGTGTATTCAGTAGACTCATTCCACCCCTCCAACGTCCAACAGGTGGAACACAACTATTTCTTGTTTCTGTGGAAGCTCATAAAGGGTGGAGGTTGAGACTCGAAAATGAAGAAAAGTGAAACATGCAGGCATGCGGCTGAACTCTCGGTTATCATGTCCTGATGATGGGATCACTGCAGTTATCCCACATGGAAAGAAAATGAGAAAAATAAAATAAAATGGCAAGATGAAATTGAGATCCCTGACTTATAGATCACTGACTCGTCACACAGTACTGATCAATGGAAAAGAGGATGCTGTTAAGATCCTGGCCAATTTTGAAATGCGAAGTTCACGAGAAAGCACAATGCTGTCCAATTGCGCAAGAAATGAATGAACTTGAGAGGAATGAGAGATAAAGAAGAAGAAGAAGAAAGAAAGAAGAAGAAGAAGAAGAAGATGTACACCAGCAAAAGACCAATGGGGGAATCCCCCCTTCACTCCCCAACCAACTCCTCCTCCTTATCACCTCCTTTTTTCATTCAAATTTCTAACAATAAATAATAATAATAATGATGATGAATGGCTGAACCAGAATCAAAGTCCGAATCCCTCTTCTACTGCTTGGCATAACAGAGGTCCACCATAGCCATGACTTATTAGGCCGAGGTTATGGCTGAGTACTAAGGGCCTAGCCCTGCTGTGCAAAAGACAACGCAAAGCAGCTATGCCCGCTGCTGTTCAGGCTGCCATGCCTGACTCTGCCTTGCAGCCTTCTTGGTGCGGTGCAACCCCAACTGGGGCCTTTCAGATGCAGCGCCTAGCAAGGTGATGAAGATGGCGTCCACCATAGCCAGGTAAGTACCTCGCCACTCTCCTCCCTAGTCCCCTTCTTCCTCCTCCTCCTACCTGGGTTCTTCCTCCATAGCCAGGGAGGTCACCCAGGCGCTCCTCCCAGGCAGCGCTAGTGGAGCTGCACTCCTTCTCCCAGCAGCACTCTGCAGTCCAGTGCCCGCTCAAGCAGTGACGCCCAAACTTGCATACCGCAAATGAGGAGGAGCACTTCGCTCCTCCTGGAGATATAGTGGCCTACCTGCCTCTTGGGCGGTGACTTCCAGGCCGTGCGGCCCCCAAGCAACCGGTACCTCCTCCCTTTCGGAGGGAAACATCATTGCAGGCTCTGATATCATCCGCACAGGCCCTAGACTCAGGATACTTGGACTGGTACCCGCCTACCTCTAGGCCTACCGCTACTGGGCCTATAAAAGTGCTAACTTTTTATCTTCTTTTGCCTGGCCTCCGGTTCCCGATACATCCACCGCTACTTGAGTGGTACCAGCCTACCTGCTACTCGAGTGTTTTTCCCCGCTGCCCTAAGTGTCACAGGCCTACTCCCCACTGCTCGAGTGTTTTTCCCGCTGCAACCCTCAAAGTCACGGGCACAGGTAAGTACCGCCCCCCGTGGGCCTTCCAAACAAACGAGTGCCCTGGCGGGCCACACACACACTCAGACTGACAAGCACTCAGACAGGCACACGAACCCAGCGAGCACGCACACACACACAGACTTAGAAAACTCAGCAGAATGCAGGATCTCAGTGAGGCATTCATTCCAGCGGCAAACTCAGAAATCAGCTGTTTTCTCAGTCTGTGTTTTGACGGGTCATTACAATGCCATTATTATCATATAGTGACATATAGGTCCTTCGTGACATCCGTTAGAATTGGAACGATACAGAGAAGATAGCATGCCCCCTGCGCTGGGCCTGTACAACCGGGCACTGACTTCTTCTTGTGGAAGACACTACCTCCTACATTGTTCTTCTTGTGTTGTTCCCCCTTTTTTTTTTTTTTTTTTTTTTTTAATAAATACAGAACCCCTCGGTTCTGGCTCCTGCCATTCTGGGGAGCAACAGTCTGGTTCCTATTCCCCCAGCAAGTCAAATATGAATACAGTAAAGACCCACGCACGCTCCTCCCCATTATGGCTGAGAGGCCCGAGTGGACGGCATTGATTACTTCCCTGGGGAAGGATGCACCACCCCTCACCCCTGCCTAAGCTAGCCAATATCCACTTCCTCCTGATCCTATGAGTCGCCTAGCTCCTAGCTCCTCTCAGCTACGTGCTGTCGGATAAACCTGAACACTAGTACATCCAGTAATCCTCCTGCGAGACATGTTGCTGCCGGTGATGATGCCGCTGCTGTACTCCTCGGCGGGCAGACCATGATTTGGACATCAGCCAAAAGTATCCTCTCATATTATCTGGGGAAGAGGCCTTTGGGAGTTGTCTGATTCTGTAGAGTGCCAAAGGACTCCACGACAGTGTGTGGTTAGTGAGCAACTTTACTATCCATTTAGTCTGCAAGGCTTTGGTCTGTGCGACCGGGTCCAGAATTCCCAGTCCTCCTTGGCCCTTCGGTTGTGTGAGATAATCCCAAGCCACCTTAGGAATGAAGCTCTAGGTAGAAGGATTACCAGTCCACAGATAAGCTGTAGAACGTGCTTTGAGAGCATTTGTCATTCTCGTGTCCGGCGTCCAGATGGTTGCTGCATACCATAGCATAAAGAAGATGGAGGCATTTAGAACCAGTGCCCTTCCAAATACTGAGGTGTACATACTAGTCCAGGTATCTAATTTGCGAATCATACGCGTTAACATCTCTGGAGCCATCGCTTGATCAGGTCCTGCATTTGTAAGATTGATGCCAGGAACCTTAATCCTTCGGGCGTGATGTCTTGATATGGTTGCTCCATTTTCGATAGCCACCACCCTGTGATTTTCTGCCAATTGACATTAATCTCAGATGCCAGCTGGAAGGCTTGCATGGTACGCGTGAGAGCTTGAAATGAAGCGCTGGAGGCTCTAAGCAAAAAGGGGAGTGGTAGGTAAGCATACGTGATGATAGGGATTAGTCGGTTCCGCAACTAGCCTCTCTATTGTCCGGTCCTTTCTCAAAAAGGACGCTATCACCTCCATAGGGAAGAGAAAGAGGGGGGCTGCTAGAGGATCTCCGTGTCGCACAGAACGACTCATTTTATATGGTGGAGAAAGGAAACCGTTAAGTTGTACTTGCCCGTATGCATCATTGTAAAACACCCTCACCCATTTTCGAAAATTCAGTCCAACATCCATCTTCTCCATACATTGTTGCTGGAAGTTCCAGTTGACCTGATCATACGCCTTCTCAAAGTCAAAGAAGAGTATGGATGCGTTAAGTTTCTTGTCTGTGATGTACCGCGCCAACTCTGTTAATGTCATGACGTTGTCGAGGATGAATCTTCCAGGGATAAATCCTGTCTGGTCAATGTGGAAACAATTTCGGGTAATATTCCTAAGTTTGTTGGCTAGTAGTTTCGCCAGTATCTTGTACACTACTGTAAGTAGTGTTATTGGGCGGTAATTCCTAATATCTGTGGGGTCTCCTTTTTTGTATAATAGTGTAACAACCCCTGT